GGGGGGGGTTAAGGTTGTCTACCACACGTCTAAAAAGCTGGTTATCTATTTGTCTAAGTCTGTACAAAACTTACAAGTTTATTTTAACGCATAAGTACACCTAGATCTATTAACAATCACATTTTTTTTCTCTATCGCCCAAAGAAAATAACACAATAGTAGATCATAATAATATTAGTAGCTGGTGCCAAGGTCAACACTATGTTTTGCACTGGTGGGCGAACGAGTTGAATCTTTAACCGAATTCATGCAGTATGACATGGGAGTTAGTAGACTGTTAATTAATTCTTTTTTTTTAAATGTAGGTGGGGGTTTTTTGACGCCCCCATTGACACAATTTTGATCATTCAAAGGGCGGGCTTCTGACTCAGCCTGTCACGGCCAACCCAGAGGCTGAGGGAAGTATAACATCTCAGCAGAAAGACCAAGATACTCGATACAAAAATTCGATATAATCACTCACCAAGGGAATCGAGCTCGGGTCTCCTGGGTACTCTCAAAGATAGTACATAACAAGATGGGCCACTCAGCCAAAAAAGTGTCCGCCGGAAGTTCGCTCTTTGCTTTCAGATGGCGCTGCAGTCTGTTTTGAAGCTCTCTTTCGTTTTTCCAGAAGAAGAATAGGAATAGCACCTCTTTGCGTGCGCAGATCGACTGCTGTTCATCAGCAGTTCGGGTTCGTTCAGTGTGTAGTTTTAGGTTTTTTAAAATATTTTAATGACCTCTCGCCTTTCATTCTAAAGTCAAATTAAACGAAGAAAACAACCACCCTTTCCTCCGGAAGAGGTTTTTGGTCTGCGTAACCATTTTAAAAAGTCGTTATTCCGAAATTTATTCAAAAACTTGCTAGTTTCACTTTGATTTTTTAAACTCAAGTAGGGTAACTCTGTTCGCAACGGGTGCGCATTTGCGAAGAAGGCCCCACCGAATTTTGAGGACACTTTTTTAATTGGCTCAAAAAGAGAAGTGGCCTCTCTTGTTATGTAGACTCTTTGGTACTCTCATAAGGTATCGAATAAGCGCCCCCCCCCCTCACTTATTAATTTTCCGTTTTTTGCGCACCTCCCCCCAACCGCTCCTTATTCCATACCTCCAGTTTATTATTTTCCAGCTTGCCAAGACCGACGATTATGTGAAACATTGTATCTAGAATCTAGATAGCTGAAAAAATCTTCTTTGTGTGTGTGTGTGTAAATGACAAATTACCCCTCAGTATTAGTACCGGTACCAGGTTGGCTACCACGATTTTCTGTGCATAAAAAAACCACACTTTTGTACATTGGTTTATAGATCTATCTTTTAATGAAACTGGTTTGTTCCTAAACATTAAATGGGTTAACTTACTAAAATCACTAAATATTCATGATCTCTTGTTCTTTTATTCGCTGAAGGAGAAATAAAACAGATTTTTGTTGCTATTAGATCTAGATCTAGTACTGAGGTATGAGGTTGAATGTGCCACTCCCC